CTGTACAATTTAAAATCGAAAACCAGTCTTCTACTTAAGAGTCCTCGCAGACGACAGACTTTGAGCCTCCCGGCCGTAATACCACACGAGTCTCGCTAAAACAAAAGCAATGCAGACGTAGGAAAAAAAAAAAAAAAAAAAACGTAAGTGATATTAAAGGTTAAAAAAAAAGCACATGGTAGCAAGAAAAATATAAGAAACAAAACTCATATTGTCTTTTTACAAACAGCCCCAAAAGTTAAATTCTGCATTTTTTCTAATCTCATATAAGAATTAAAAGTATCAGCGCGGATTAAACTAACCCTAGAACCACGACCAAGAATTAATTCTATCTTAGAGGACTAGCTGACTGCCACTTACTATCAGTACAAAAGGACGCTGATAGTTCGGTCCGGGAATGAACAACGCATGAGTTTGTCGATTTTTAAGTAGGAGCACTGCAAGGTTCTATCGTCATAGAAAGTAGATTCGCCGAGACGAGTTCAAATACCGAACGTGCACTCTGCATTCACTTTCACACAGATTACCTTTAGAAAGGCAGAAATCAAGCCATTTTCAGCTAAAGTTTACATAATAGGATAGAATTGGGTTATCTAACCTTGGATGATGGCCTGCCTTAAAGAAGGAATATTATAAATCTTGTAGTGGAAAATGTTAGCGCAAGGAGTCACTTTTCTGGGGGTTAGCATCAGCCATCGCCAATCAAGTGAGAAGAATGAATAAAGGATAGCTGTGATTATATCACGGAAAAGTGAATAATGCTGTGTTCCAAGTGGTGGTATTTGTCATTGAGTCATGAGAAAAATATTTTAAAACCTACTGATTCCAGTGTAGCGTCACCAATTGTATTGCGTTGGTTGAAAGATTTCTTTTTGGAACGTCGGTGTCACCAATTGTAGAGGGTACTGCGTGCGGGATTCAGTTGTGGCGCCATTACGTTTATATTAACGATACTTTCAACGTACAAGATTCAAGTAATAATAACAACAACTCCAATTTGTTAACCAACAAATATATATTGAATAAAATACAAGAAGCATGAAATAATTTTGTATTCACAATGTAGATTAAAGAGAAGAAAGTTGTTTCCCTTTGACTGTAGATTGATTGTAATCAACTGTTTGAAGAAAGTTCTCCTGTGAGATAAATGTTCCGAAATAATTGTTAGAGCAAAGTTTGCATGTGAAGAATGAATAACACGAAGAATACAATTGCCTGAAATGTGTTGTGGATAAACTGGTTTGAATCAACAAAATTCTAGTAAATTGTACTTGCCAAAAGTTAGAGAGAAAATGTAAGTTTGTAGTTACGAAATTCTGTGTCTGTGTATATGGTGAGCAAGATCGTGGATTTGTGTTGACGGCTGGAATGTTACTGGATCTTACTGGCAACTTGCGAAAAGTCGCCCCTTTTAAGGAAAAAAGGTAGGCTTCCACGGAACCGCTGGAAAACTTGATCTTACATTAAAAATATGTGATTAGTAAAAAATTGACCAATCACTACACTCGTACTAAACAGAATACGTAAGTATGCTCAGAATCAAAAGATTCAAAGGAACGTCTGCGATGGCTAAATTGTCCTATACAAAGGTAGTAGTAATTTATTAGCCAATCGCAGGCGAATAAAATGTGGGTGTGGAAAACATAACCAATCGCTATACCAATAAATGCGTCTCCCAAATTTAAAGGTTGAACATGAAAGAGTTTAGCGGTATATGCATCCAGACAAACTCATCTTAAGTAGTTTGGTTTGGTTTGGTTTGGCTTGGTTTGTTTAACGGCATATCAACCTCCATAGGTTATTTAATGCCGAGAAGATTTTTATTGCTGGTATTTTTTTTTTTTTTCAAAATGTATTGCAAGTAATATTTCTTTTTTAAAAATGTATTGCTGATATTTTTTTTTTTTTTTTTTGGCTGGTAATTTTTTTCCGAAATGTGTTGCTGGTAATAATTTTTTTCCAAAAATGTATTGATGGTACTACTTTTTTTTCAAAAATGTATTGTTAGTAATATTTTTCTAAAAAGGTATTGCTGGTAATAATGTATTGCTGGTGATATTTGTTTAATGTATTGCTAGTAATAAATCATATTTTTACATGTTTATACCCCAGTTTGGGATGTTAACTATTTTCCCATAGTTGGGACCCTAACAGGTGCTACCGCCCCGGGTCAGGGTGAACCTGGGAACATCAGCATTTAAGAGGTAGTTCCACGCTTCTCAAAAAACCCCTGATCAGAGGCCTTGCTGTCGGATGTAGTTTATCGTCTTACCCAGGACGGTTTTCTTAAGTAAATATAAAGATCCTATTTGACCGGATTTATGTAAGCATAACAATGAGGTGATCCTTAAGATAACAATGAGTCCTAACAGGATTTATTATCAATGAGCAACATCTCACATAAGATACGCAGTAGTAAAAGAAAGTGAGAATAAAAAGAACGAGCAGCAATCCTATGAAAACAGAATATATTGTTGACAGCAACACAAAAATCGCCAAATTTGAGCTCTGAATTAGAGATGACTAAATTAAACGGTTTAGTTTGGTTTGGTTTATTTCGTTTTACGGAATATCAACCTCAATGGGTTATTTAATGCCGACAAAATTTTTATTTCTGCTAATATTTTTATCTATCTATCTATCTATCTATCTATCTATCTATCTATCTATCTCAGTATATATTGGTTTGGTTTGGTTTGTTTTACGGCATATCAACCTCAATGGGTTATTTAATGCCGACAAGATTTTTATTGCTGGCAATATGTTTTTCTTCAAAAATCTATTTCTGAGAATATTTTTCCGTCAAGAAATTTATAGCTAGTCATATTTTTTTTCAAAGAATGTATAACTGTATTGCTCGTAATTTTTTTTCTCAAAAATTATTGCTGGTAATAATTTTTTTTATTACAAAGTATTTCTTGTATTAAAACTTATTTTTACACAAGTTTGAGTGTTAACTATTTGCCCATAGCTGGGACCTTAACAGGTGCTACTACCTGGGTCAGGGTGGACCTGGGAACACCAGCAATTAATAGGTGGTTCCACGCCCCTCAAAACCTCCTGATCAGAGGTCTTGCTGTTGGACGTAGTTTATCGCCTTACCCAGGATGCGGATGTAGTTTATCGTCATACACAGGACGAAAAATCAAACGACACAGAAATTTAAATATCTGAGAAGTTTCCTTTAGCATAGGATAGAAAACGTGACACCGAAATCCGAACGCGTTCGGAATAGCGAAAGACGCCTTCCAAAAGTTAAGCAAAGTATAAAGATACAGGAAAATTTAATTAGAAACAAATAGTTCTGAACTGCTATAGTAATAACACTAAAAAAGTGCTAGTTAATCCTGGACAATCTTTTGACAGAGGAAGAAGAGTCTTGTAGCAACAGATATGTGCTTCCACAGAAGAATTCTAAGAATAACATGGACGGAGCATGCGACAAAAGATGTTTAAAAGAAAATGGAAATTAAAATGATATTTATAATTAAAATCAGAAAGAAACCAAAGACATTTCTATGACACATAATGAGGAAAGAAGACTTGGAAAATTTGACACACACGGGACTTATTGAAAGCAACTATGACAGAGGGAAACACCATGTCACTTACATAATGAGCTTGTATCGATGGACAGCAGGGAAGAACATGAGAGAGACAGTAAAAAGACAAACATTCCCAAGAGCCAAAAAAAGAATAAGACGCTGTGGAGGGACATAGCCGCATATACAAGAAGATCCGAAGTGAAAACGGGAATAACTTTTTAAAGGTTATTTTTTATACTTAATTTTGCTTTATTTTATCAATCGACTATAAAAATGATATTTTAATGCTTTTAGATTTTAAAAATAAAGAAAAAAGGGGAAGTTTAGGTTTCTTTATATTATATAACTATGTGATACTCTCTGAGACATTCCATTCCCAATAGAGTTCTGCATCCTTTGCCAGTTTTCTCTTCGAGGACTATGCATGCAGTCATGGCATTGTCTTTGGCTTGTTTGTAATCTCGGAAACTAGTAAATAGTAACATCACGAATCCTAGGGTTGCCAATTGTTCATTTACGCTCAAATCATGGGTTTTGCTTGTATCGTTTACAAAAAATGTAAATCATACATTGTTAATATCTACTGATGTCTGCTGAAAGAGTAACTGATGTTCCCAGCCGTTTATGCGTCTGACCATTAATAGTTCCCGACTGACTTTGTCCCATTAAAACAGTTTGTAAAAGCTTTGAAAATATTTAGACGACTTTTTGGAAGGAAAAGATATGAGATCTTATCCTGATCATAAGTGTTACTGTTTTGTCTCCAGTGAAGCCTTTAAAATCGAGGCTTTCAAGCCTTTTGTTCGAAAAGGCAAAAAATAATAAATAGATGACAGTTTTTGAGGTTAAGTATCAACAAACCGGACATTGATTATTTCCGTTTTCCAGTGTATATTATCAGTCATGGTTGGAATAAAGCAGCCTATTCCTTTAAGAGTTTCTATGCGGCCCGTTTGTGTTGCCAGCCACGCGTCGTTCTATTGAAATGGGCAGAGAGTTGGTAGGTGGGAGAGTTGAATGGAATAGATTGTCTATTAATCCAACATGCCTGAGGTTATCTTAAATAACACGTTACTACCCAACCGTATCAAGCAAGCAAAGCTCTGAATAAAACTTGGAAATATAGTTTGAGTTTTCATTTCTCGCTTCGGTGTTTATTTTCATCTTCTGTCAACGTACGGCGGAATTTTTCCGATTTTTGGTGCACAGATGATACTAAAGACGCATTGCTAATTATTCATTGGTCAGTGGATGGAAAACTAAGCAAGGATCCGTTGTATGTTCAGGCATCTTGATTATAATTGAAATTATAGAATTTTGCTAATTTACCATAAAATCATTATTTTTCCAATTACATAAAGTAAATACGAGGTGACCATTAACAATTTGAAAAATCCGTACAAAGGGCAGATTGTATTTAGTATGCATTTCTGACGCCACCTGATGTTAGTAGGTTTACGGCCATATCACATTGAAACACCAGGTCCTTCACGATCGTCAAAGTTAAGCAACGTTGAGCCCTGTCAGTACCTAGATGGGTGGCCGCTTGGAAATACCACTCGCCGTCAGCTTAGACGTGCGGAAACCGACTCAGAATTGTTAGTCGGAGATCAGAGTTCGAATACCAGACAGACTCTTTATATTCACTTACGTGCAAATACCCTTGGGAAAGGGAGGAATTCATATCTCCTGCCAGCTAGGGGTTAAATAGCAAAAGTTATATCACTAAATCATTATTTTATTAAAAAATTCCTTACCCTCTTAAAATCGTGGCCGGACATTTGGCCGAACTGATATTTGGCCGACGGACATTTCACCGAAATAGTACAAGTAAAAATAGTAACAAGCAATACTTTAAGTATTTTAATTAGCTGTAGTAGAAGGTAGAAATTAGTATTTTTAAAAATATTTTAGTGTATTTGTGTAAAAAGTAGCACCTGATTATTTAAATTCGTACTTAACAATACGATAAAATCTAGTCCCTTGAAGATGATGATCATTAAAAGCGAAATTGAAAGATTTTTCATATCGTAAATACTTAAAATCTTTGCTGTAGTAAAATGTGTTTTTCTCAAAATACATAGCATCATAGAGTATATTTGAAGTAAAATAAAAAAATTATCCAGAATAGATTTTAAAAAAACTGTAAAAAAAATCGAAAAATTATAAATTAATCCAGTAAATAAATATAAATATATCTAGCAGATTACGATAAAGAGTTTAACATACATGTAAGTACGCCACTACATTTTCGGCTAAATGTCCATTCGGTTAAATGTCCGCTTGCCAAAATATCCCTAGGCCAAATATCCACTCAGCGAAATATCTCTAGGCCAAATATCCACTCAGCGAAATATCTCTAGGCCAAATGTCGGGTTGGCGAAATATCCCTAGGCCAAATTTCCGTCGGCCAGATATGTGGTCGGTGAAATATCCCTAGGCTAAATTTACGTCGGCTAAATTTTCGGTGGGCGAAATATCCCTAGGCCAAATGTCGGGTTGGTGAAATATCCGTAGGTCAAATTTCTGTCGGCTAAATATCCGTTCGGCGAAATATCCGTAGGTCAAATGTCCGGTCGGCGAAATATCCCTAGGCTAAATTTCCGTCGGCTAAATATCCGTTCAGTGAATTATCCCAAGCCCAAATTTCCGGTCAGCGAAATATCCCGAAGCCAAATGTCCGGTCGGTGAGATATCCCTAGGCCAAATTTTCGTCGGCCAAATGTCTGGTTAGTGAAATATCCCTAGGCCAAATGTCTGGTTAGTGAAATATCCCTAGGCCAAATGCCGGGTTAGTGAAATATCCCTAGGCCAAATTTCCGTTCGGCGAAATATCCCTAGGCCAAATGTCCGGTCGGTGAAATATCCCTAGGCCAAATGTCCGGTCGGCGAAATATCCCTAGGCCAAATATCCATTCGGCCATATGTACAAATACTGATTCATGTTTATATTGTCTCGAAAACTATTATGGAGTTGTCTCCTTAGCTTTTGTGATAGTAATTGCCAGTATTCCTTTTAAAATATTGTTAACTTAATGAAAATCCGAAGGTCGTCTCAATGTAGCGAGTTGCTGAATGAGGTGTGCGGTAGGAAAGTAAGAGGAGTAGGGGGTGAAGATTATGAATATATGGAGGATAGAGTGCGATTGACGCTAAGTAGTTAATAATGTAGTGTTCGTGGAAGCACCCTCGCGGGAGTATGTTCTACAAAGTTGCGGATTTTTAGGAAAAAAAAAAGATTTCTGCCTTCTTGCCAATGAAATACGGAAAATTAGGCTGATTCAATCCTTCGGACAATTTAGGCTGCAAATGCCGGATCTAATGGCAGGAAAGGATGGATCGTGTCTGAACATTTGCCATGGAGCAGTTGTTGTGTATCGAGAGGCTTGCGACGTTAGGCCTGTAAAAAAGTTGGAAGATGAAGAGATTGTATTTTTTCTATGTCATTTCACCCCTCGGAATCCACATGTATGTAGGCAGGAATGTATTTGTGTATGTATGTATGAGCGTTATCGAAGGGTAGTAATGTCTTTGAAGTAATCGCTCAGTCTTAAAGGTTCCTTTAGTTTATCAAGTATAAAAAAGGTGAGGGAGAAAGGTAGGGACAATATTAACGGTAGCTTGACGTTTGTCAAGGGACGTGTTAATACGCTCGTATCCTCCCTCTGGTGACAGGCGGATTCGCTCGTCTATTTTGTTTGTGGGGCTTGAAAAGGTCATTTGGGAATTCACTTCCGGATAATATCCGGGCCTTTCCATTGGACGATGAAAAAATGTTTGCATTGGCTCGCAAAAAGAGAATTAAAGATTATTTGAATTTTGTTTTTAAATGTTTTCTAGTTTTCTATTGGCCGAAAAACATTTCGCATTAAGGTGTGAAATTTTACGAGTTTTGGATCCTGTTTTGTGTGTGTGTTAAGCCAAATTTGTAAATTCGAGTCTTTTTGGTCACTACAAAGTAGTACTGCGCTTAGTAAGTGCAATTAAAGACAGCAATTGAAAGAAAAGTCCCAGATCAATTAATAGACGTCCAATACACCATCAAGAGAGCACATGATCGTTTTCGTAGATAACAACTGGGGAATTTTAACTCATCTGTAATATCCAACAGATGTAATATCGAATTACCATTTTTTCCTGTCTTTGGAGAATTCTCTTAATGAAAACGATTTCAATTCTTTGGAATGTTGCAAGAAAGTGAAATAAAATAACAGCTATATTGTCGAATAATAATAATAATAAAAACACAAATATCATTGTTACTTAGTTGAACCAATAAACACTTTTGACTACCTACTATATTACAAAATGATGCAGATAACTTTACTATAAAACAATAAAAGTATTTAATTTGCGGAAAGAACTATAACGGAGAGACAGGCCGCCCTCTCAAGGTAAGGCTTCAAGAACACCAGAAAGCTGTAACACGAGGAGAAGTAGAAAAATCAGGCGTGGCTGACCATATATGGAGAAGGAAAGGAGATCACCGCCCTCTGTGGGATGAGGTTGAGATCATCGACAAACTTAAACTTAAGGAATCAGCACATATGCTAGGCCAGAAAAATCTCCTGAGCCGACCAAGCATAGAAATGAATACAATATGGGAACCAGTAATAAGGAGTGCCAGTGAAAAGCGATAATAACAACAAAACGTTGCAATATCAGCATTGGTAAAAACATGATGATAACAGTAAAAAATTGCAATATGAGCACTGCTAAAAATATTTGTTGAAGACATTAAGTTTATAATACACAATTCGAGAATAATGTTATATCTGTAAATTACTCAGTGTAATGACTATTCTAATCCACAGTGGCACTTGAAAAATAGATCCAAGCGAAAATTGCTGATATGCCGATTAAGAGCAACGTCGTAGCCGCATATTTGGCCGAACGGATATTTGACCGAACGGATATTTGGCCGACGGACATTTTACCGAAATAGTACAAGTAAAAATAGTAACAAGCAATACTTTAAGTATTTTAATTAGAAGTATTATAAGTTAGAATAGGACTAATAATTTACCACTGAATTAAGTGATTAAATTACTAAATTTAAATTTAAACGTAAAAGATTTCTTATTTCGATATATGTTTATTGAAATTAGTATTTTTAAAAATATTTGAATGTTTTTTGGTTAAAAAGTAGCACCTAATTATTTAAATTCGTATTTAACAGTAACGTCAAAGTTAGTTTACACCTTTAAGACAGTGATTATGATATGTCTCGGAAAGGGATATATTTGTTTAAAGTAGCAAAGTGGTTTTGGACTACAGTAACCGAGCAGGTAATCGTAATGGACTGGTCCTCGTTGTAGTGGTAGGCAATAGGTGCAGGCAATAGGCGAAGACAATATGCGTCGTCCCTGTACCTCCACCTCAGTCTGTATTTATGGCTGACACCAGCCAATCATATTACTGTGAGGGGGAACCCAGGTGTATGCATATTCATTACATCAGATCATTAAAAGCGAAATTGAAAGATCTTTCATATCGTAAAAGCTTAAGATTTTTGCTGTAGTAAAACGTACTTTTTCTCAAAATACTTATCATCTTACAGTAATATTTGAAGTAAAATATAATATATACAGAATAGATTTTTTAAAAAAGTCTTTAAAAAGGAAAATTAATGCAGTAAATAAATATAAACATTTGTCGCGCATTACGATAAAGAGTTTAACATAGATTATTTACATTATTCGGACTATTGTCCTCATCTTTGTCGCCATATTTATTACAACGTTTCGGCCGTTCTACGCTCCAGCCTCCTTCAGGTGGTTGGAATGCCGAGCTGAACCCTTTATTTCGCTCACTGCTGTAGACTGTTCTAGTTCCATGTGCCATCTCTAATGGATATGAGTTATCATTTATCTCCTGTTAATTCCTCTCTGAAAGTTCTCTACTGGCTTTACCGTGTATTGAACTCACACTCTTTGGGTCCTGTCACTGGATCTAACTAACGCCTTTATCAACTGAGCCATGTGTTCTTGAGAACTTTGTAGACGAAGATATCTCAGATTCTCTCATTCTGAAGAAGGCCGGAGCGTACAACGGCCGAAACGTTGTAATAAACATGACAACAAAGATGGGGACAATAGTCTGAATAATGTAAATAGTGTACATAATACCTCATCTCTGAAATATAGACAAATACTGAAGGGCCGAAACGTTGTAATAAATATGGCCACAAAGATGAGAACAATAATCTGAATAATGTAAATAATGTTCATAATACCTCATCTCAGAAATATAGACAGATACTGTGGCATACATGTGAGTATGCCACTACATTTTCTGCTAAATGTCCATTCGGTTAAATGCCCGTCGGCCAAGTATCCGTTCGGCGAAAGGTCCCTAGGCTAAATTTCCGTCAGTCAAGGGTCCGAGTACCTGTAAAATATTTTCTGGCTTTGAATGACCTAAAAAGGGGGTGATAAGCCGTAGAAAACCAATCAATAAATCATGTGAGTATTATTGTTTTGCACGCCAGTGTGCAGACAGTCTTTTTTTCTTCCAGTACGACTGTTTTTAAGAGGACAGAAAAATAAGGACGGTTGCCTCTTTCATCAGAATGAGAGAAGCTCAGATATCTTCGTCTACACAGCCATCTATTCACACTTACGGCCTGAGGAAGCAAAGATAGAATTTACGACAATGAGACTGCAGTTTGGAACCGTGCCAAAACAGACGGTGTTTCCTCGCAAATCAACTCGTGACATTGCCACTCGGCGTTCGGCTTCGGAAGTGGATCTTCAGCAAAGTGATTCGTTAGCCGTCGCCTTCTGTGGACAAAGTCCGTTCTTGGGTCGACAGGTAATATTTCAGCTCACCTGTCATTAGAGCTGAGATCATTAAGCGCTGATATACTGCCGGGCTTATCGAACTTGTTGTGTTCAGCCATCGCTGTTGGCTGTGCCGTCTTGCTTCTGCCAAATTACCAAACAGCACCATTAATTAACGTTACGAATTTGACCGCTTGCTGGATAAAAGGCTTTTGCAAAGATTGTACGGAACACAAAAACACTTTCGGGCCATTCTCCATTGTGCCCAGGAGGACTTACAAATTTTATCAGCCTTACTTTCGTACTCTTCAAATGCCGGTAAACACATTCATTTTAGTAAAGATTTCAGTGCAGATTGGTAGAAAGACGACAACAGATAGATAGATTAATACATTTTTTACATCTTATCAACCCTTTGCAGGTTATTTAAAGTCAGGAAATATTTTTAGATTGTATTAATTTTGAATTATTGATACAATTATGATAATTAAACCATAGCTGGAGTGGGGAGTGGGAAGAGGTGGATTCCTAAGTTTCCCAAATGTATTTGCGCGTAAATGAATATAACTGACCGACCGGGAATTGAAACTGAGCTCTCTAATTAACAATTCTAAAACTATTATCCATTTCACCATCTGCACACCCAAGGTTACAGCACCTGGTAATCTCGAGCGGTCACCCGTCTAGGTATTGACCAGGCTGGACGTTGTTTAACTTCGGTGATTGTGCGGAAACCGGAGTTTCATTGTAATATGACCGTCAGCAGACCGACCGACCGACCGACAGACAGACAGATAGATAGATAGATAGATAGATAGATAGATAGATAGATATGAACAGACTTTTTTCCCATTCAGAAAAGAAATGTTCTTTGTGTTAGCTTTATGAACGACTCGTTGCTCCTAATTCTATGTATCCATCCGTTGCCACTAGTTTTCTCTTCATGCAGAAGTCACTACCATTCAACAGGATTGATATCACATAGCAATTCTTTGTTTCTAATGAAACTTTTTCTGCTTCGTTGTCTGTTGATTTTCTTTTGAACTCCACTTTGATCTTTTATATCGGCACGTGGCTGATTGGTTAGAACGTTTGCATTCTGACCCTGAGACTCAGGTTCGAATCTCACCATGGTCGATTTGTCAGGAAGGAGACTTTCTGATGTTAACGGACTGGAGGGGTCGATTTCAACGTTCAGTGGCTGAAAACCATGCCAAGCCTTGTGAGTGAAATTGGGTAGACGGAACTCTTGGAGGCCGTCGATAGCTGTGCTAGCACGAAGTCACAAGTCATCGTGGTCGAGGGCTTGAGCGTTCTGGCCTTGTTCAAATTGTTGATCACGCTAGATTACACGCTCTTTTCCAGAAACTATAACTAAGGTCTTCTCAGCATAGTTACAATAGGCTCTGTGGAAGTTAAATAAACACAAAAAATGCGCCTGAGCATGCATCTGCAACAGGGATTGCCTAGCCACCCTAATATCCTCGAATACTAGTGGCCAGTTATGCATATATATCTATTTACTTAAATGAATTCTTGAAGCTTAAATATATAAGAAAGTAATTATTACTGTCGATGGAAAATTAGCA